ATCCGCGCGAAGAACTCCCGGGAGCGACGCGAAGAACTCTCAGACGCAGAAGGAGTCGAGGGCGACCCGCGTTAATGCGAACACGTTGCTCGAGATCTCGCAACGGCGCCCGCGGTCACGCGGGGCTCTTCGCCTTCGCTGTCTACCGTCCTTTCTCCTCGGCGTCGGGCGCGCCCCTGAAGGGGGCGGACCGTTCTATCCCCCCGCCTTCTGCGGCGCCCTCCTGCGCCGAGGCGCCGATGGGGAAGCGCGCGAGAGAGGGGGGGGGGCTGAAACAAAAAAGATGTCGCGGAGTCCTGATGTCTCTTGGCCTGGCCAGATCGGAGACTACCCGGGCTGTCGCCCCGGCCAAGTCTCTGAACCATGGGTCGACCTGGGCCTTCCGGGCGACCGACAGCCCGCCTGGAAGAAAATATTCGCGCACGGAGGCTGGAGCTCTAAAGTGCTCCAATCGCTCCGAGCGGCCCTCAACCCCCAGCCGGTTTGCATGTCCAGGCCCGCTAAACACCCCGCTCGTCGTCCGGCGACTTCGACTCCCGCGCGGGCGGAGAGAAGACTTCCAGAATGGCCCCCTTTCCGAACTCCAGCCTCGCGCTGGGCACTTGTTAGACCAGCGGCTGTAGCAGCCCCGAGAATTCGCCATCCAGTCCGACGTCGCGCCCTTGTCGAGGCAGCAGCGAGTGCCATCTCGCAGACATTTCTCTCTGCCCTCGCGAAGCGGGCCTCGTGGCCGCCACTGACCTCGGGGGCTTCGAACGTCTGAGACTGGGCCGCGTGCTCCGCCGCAGCGACTGCGCGAGAGACTGCCGGAGAGGTGCCGTCCATTTCTTGCCACCTGAGATCTTCGCCTTGCCGATGCCTCCAAGACCCCCCCCTCCGGCGCACCGGCCCCCTCTTCTCCCGGGAAGCGGCGCGCGCGCTCGGGGCCTGGGCCGTCTTGGACCGAGACCTGCCTCAGATCGCTGGACTCAGGGAGTTGCCGCGCTCCGAAAAGATGAGATATCAGGCTTCTGGAGGCAGCCGATCTGCCCCTAGTCCGCGGGACATCGGGGAGCCTGCGGAACCTGCCGCGGCGTCGCGGGCGGCGAGGTCGCAGGTGCCCCCGACGCTGACGAAGAGTCAGTCGACTGCCGTCGACTGGACACGACGGATTGCGGCCCCCTGGGCTGCCCCCTCTGCCCTCGGGGCCACGCTGGCCCGCGCCATCTCGCCGCGCACGTTCCGAAGCCCCAGCAGCGGCGCACTCACGGGAATCGCGCGAATGGCCCCGGGGGGAGGGCCGACGCCTTCCACCTCCATCGGGGCCTCCACTGCATGGCGCCCCCACAGATCCCCGGGGTGCGCTTGGCCACCCGCAGACGATTCGCCTCGACCAACTCTCGCTCCTGCGTTGCGGTCAGCTTCTGCGTGGCCTCGCTCTCGAGCATCCTCTGCGATGCTCGTCCCCCGGGCGGTTTCGACGGAGCCAGCTGGTGGGCGGGGTGCTTGATGGCGAGCGGATTGGGCGCTTACTTCGGCTTCGGCGCGCGCCCGTTCCCCGCGCCGCATTTGCCGCGGCCCTGTCGCGTGGGGCCCCCAATACGGCAGTTGGTCGGGCGTGGGTAACTCAACTGCTCGAGCGCGCAGATGCGCCAGCTCTTCTCGGTCTTCGCTGGCCATTGGCCCCATGCGCTGGATACGTTCAAGGGCTGCATTCCTTCGCGCTGGAAGTTTGAGAAACCGTGCTCGCGAAGCATGCCCATTGCTTCTCGCCGACGCTCAAGCCCTTCGGATACTGATTGCCCGTCGATAGGCAGCGATCGGCGGACTCGCGCCCAAGGCCAGCGCTGCCGCGGATCGCCCCCCAAGAAAATCTCGGGCCAGCAAGGCGCGCGCAAGCGCCGGAAGCCGCTCGGCCCGCGAGCGGCCGTGGCAATGCTGACGCAGCAGCAGCGACCCCGGCCAGAAGCGGCTTTGCGAGAGACAGAGCACGGGCCCCCTTTCGACCCGGAGACCCCCCGGACGCCGCCGACGCCAACTGGGGCCCGACTTCCCCGGGCGCCCCAAGAGCACTCGGAAAAGCACAAGGCAAGTAGGGAGGGCGCAGACAAGGGCGCCCACGTGAAGGATGACGTCGAACAACCCATCCTCGCGCGCGTAGCGGCCCCGGGCTTGACATAGTAGGAGTACCCCCTTGCGCGTCTCTCGGGCCCCTTGGAGGCCAAGGCCCCCTGGTCTCTCGGGGCCCGCCCCGCGCTAGCCCCTGTTCGGCGACTGCCCGGCGACCGTCAAACGCGAGGTGGGGGCGGAGGGGGCCGGAGGGAGGGGCCGTCTGCCATCTTCTGAAACAGAGCATCCGCTGGAATCAGTCCGCAGCGCTCGCAGCAAACCGGATCGCCGAAACGGCCCATCGGCATCGCGCGGCGGCCTCCGCGGAGGCGCGTCGAATAGGTCGACGCACCTTTTGATCGCGAGAAGAGACGGCTTTCACTTGGCAAATCGATCGCGGCCCGCAGCAGCTCCTGCATCCCGATCGACGCGAGCGCCCGAATGTTTTGATCTACTGGCCCCGAATGCCCGTCGGCGCCAGTAGATCCGTCGGCGCTCGCGCCCTGCCGCCGATGCCCCGCGCTCGTCGCCGGAGCTCTTCGCGGCCGCGGTCTGGGGGCCGAGGTCGTTCAAGCGTTTCTCTGGACGGCCGTGAGCTTCCGTGATGCCGCAGAAGAAAAAGTCGCTGGCGTCGGAGAGAAGACGAAGCCCACCGATCCTTCGTGTCCCTGCCGGGCGGCCCCGGTGGAGCCTGCTGCCTTGGCCGGGCACTCTTGCCTTGCTGGCCCAAATGGCCCTCCCGGCTGCAGCGGTGGCACCTCGTGGCCTTCATGAGCTGATCCGGGTTCGGACGAGGCTTCCGCGGCCTCGCTTCGCCGCGAACTCCTCGGCGCCCGTCCCGCATTGGTTCTCTCTTCCCCGAGGGCCATGGTGGAGCGGGCGTCCCCCCTGGTGTCTGTTAGAAGCGCCAATCCACTCGAAGCTGTCTTCTGCTGTTTCGGCGCGCATGGCGCGTCTTCTTTCTTTTCATATTCATCCACCGCCGAGACCTCTGGGGCATCGAACTCGTCGACGTCGGCGCCTCTGAGGAAGCTGACATGTAATTTCCCGCGTTGGGGCCAAAGAGGGACACGTCGCTAAAGTCTAGGATGTCATCACCTTCCTCCGATATGCCTGCGCTGGTCGCGTCGGTGGCATGGGTATTCTGGGAGATCGGCAGCATGAGTTCCGTCTTGGCTATGCCAACTTGCTCAGGCGGCTGCGATGACATTGCCTTCGGACTGCGAAGTCTGAGACAAGCACTACAGCATCTGCATGCCGCTCTCTCCCATACTCAGACCCTCTTGGACGAACAAGCCTTCCATGCATCATCCAACTGCAGGCCTTGAGTTTTCAACCGGTAGAAATTTTGGTCCGTTCTAGCTGTGTAGACCGACAATATTTCGTCGCTGCGCTTCTGGAAAATCAGAGAAAAACACTCCTTGGTCGCTCTCCTCTTCTCATCGTTGGCCACTGAAAACGTCCAGCCTTCTCATGGTCATAGTTGGTACATCACCAGTGAATGTGCGAACGTCATATGTCAAATCCTCGAACTTGCGCTGCAACCATGTGTCCAAGGTTTTCAAGATTCGGTCGGCTCGTGTCTCGGATGGGACTCCACTCGCCGATATCCATCTCACGACTCGGCGGCGCCATGCTCGATGCTCGGAGCAATCCCTCCACGCGCCCGGGTCGGAGAGGTCTGGTTTCTCCCAAGTCTTCCACGACGAACTTGACCATCACTTGTCCTGTGCGGCCTGCCCCCAATCAGACCAACATCAATCGTAGCCGTCATTTGTCCAATATCATTGACTGTCTTTGTCGTACTGCTGATGCTGGGGCTTGCTGGTTAGCACGTATGGTTCCTCACTGTTCCCAGGCTCGTCCTCTAGTCAGGGATCTTTCCGTTCTGAGCATGACTGATCGTGAGTTGTTCGACCAGCACCCTCTTTCTCTCTGTTCACGATCGTCGTCTTCAGCAGCTGATCAAGCCTGGACAGGTGCTGGGACAACATACCTCCTTCTAACTCTGCTCGTTGCTCTGGTGTGACAGCCGCTGTGCCTTCATCACTTGCTCTTGGCAATCCGTCCGTCGTGTTGCGCTGCCCGTTCCATCCTCACGGCCGCTCGGAGATGGCACACCGTGACCTATCACGCACCTGCTACCACTGACGCGCGAAGCATTCCAGACGATACCCTGAAGGATGGAGGGGTCGGATCTCTATTACGCAAAGACACAACTGATCTTGAGCCAAAGAGGGTGCTCAAGGAACGAGACATAACTGGACCACACAGTGCATACTAGAGTTCAAGATTACATCGAATAAGCAAAAGGAGACAACACTGAACTTCACAATGTTGCATTATTTCCGCAACGTCGGATCCCAGGGCCGTCCTCGTCGTCGACCTCGTCATCGCTATCCTGATCGCCCTCCACCTCTGCCTCCTCCTGCTCCTATTCGTCATCCTTACCGTTTGCCTTCTCCTCCTCCTTCTCCTCCTCATCACCCTTCTCTTCTTGTAAGGGGGCAGAGGGTACCGCTTCCGCTATTCAGCGGACCTCCCAAGTTGCGTTCTGACTCGAATTTCGAAGCGAATCCAGCCGTGGCGACGAGGGCCGGGCGGACCCCTGGGAGGCACCCAAAAGGAAAAAACGAGGCAAACATAGCGGTATCGGAAACGTGTCCTCCTCCTCCCCCTCCTCTCTCCTCATCCTCGCCTCCTCCTCCTCCTCCTCCTCGTCCTCCTCCTCCTCCTGCTCCTCCTCCTCCTGCTCCTCTTCCTTTCTCCTCCTCCTCCTCCTCCCTTTCCTCCTCCTCTTTTCTCCTCCCTCCTCTCCTCCTCTCTCCTCCTCCTCCTCCTCCTCCTCTTCATGCTTCTCCTCCTCCTCCTCCTCCATCCCAAAGCGCCAAAATGGGCGCGGCGTGGCCCGCCTGCCGCCGGCTGCGGGGGCGCCCTGGCCCGCGAGGGCACCTCCCCGCGCGCGCACGTCCACTCCACTCCCAGGTGGGCGTCGCTATGCTCCTCCTCCCCCTCCTCTCCTCCTCCCCCCTCTCCTTCTCCTCCTCCTCCTCCTCCTCTTCCTCCTCCTCCTCCACCACCTCCTCCATTCCTTTCTCCTCCCATCCTCCTCCTCCTTTCCTCCCTCCTTCTCCCTTTCCTCTCCTCCCGTTCCTCCTCCTCCATTTCCTCCTCCATTTCCTCCTCCTCCTCCTCCTCCTCCTCCTCCTCCTCCTCCTCCCCCGACCAGGCTCCCAGAACGGACCCCGCCGAGGGCCCCACCCAAGAGAACCAGCACACTCACTTCTCGACAAGGGCTTCACGACTTGTGCCGCCTTAGGCTGCCGCGCGGGCGGACTTGGGGAGACACGCGGAGCGCCCCCGAGCTGGGGGCGCTCTGGGTGCCGCGCAGGGCCTTCTCGCCGAACTGGGGGGAGGACGACGCCTGCGCTTCTTTTGTCTCTCCTCTTCCTCTTCATCTTCTCCCCCTTTCGTCACGGGCTTAATGATTTATGCCGCCCCTCGACCCGCTCTGGATCGGCCACGATCTGCTCCAGATTGCCCTGGAGATATCTGGATTCACTCGGATTTGCCACGATGTACCTGCATTTACCTCGATTTGTTTGCACCTACCTGGATTTATCTGGCTCGATCCCTTCAAGTCGATTGGCGAAAAGTCGTCAATCCCTCAGGGCCATTGGGACAAAAAGACGAGTACATGGGCTTCGTTGGGCTGACTTCCCCCTTCGTCCCCGTCCTTGCTCCGCGTCCTCCCCTTCCTCCCCCCTCCTCCCCTCCCGTCCGAGTTCCGATGCGAGCGTGTACGAGTAAGCAAGACCGAGGCGCTCCAGAGGAGGCACCTTAAAAGTGGGACCCGTGGGTGGCCCAGAATGGCTTCGAGCTCCTCCTCAACATTCGCCCTCTCCCCTCCAGTGGCGGATTACAGAAACCCTGAACCCAAAAATGCTGCCACCTCTTGGGGGCGCATGTTTCACTTCCGCCACCTTCCGCCGCCCTTCCGCCGGCTTCCGCCAGCGGAAGGGGCCTCGTTTCATCCGGGACCTTCTGGCCCGGGCCAATGCAGACCCGGGTCAGTCAGGCCTCGCAGGATCCTGCAACATCCTGCGAGGATCCTGCACCCGAGCCCAGGCCAATGCACCCCTGGCATTGCCGGGCCCTGCAAGATCCTGCAAGATCCGGCGCTGTGGCTGAACCCTGGCAGCGCGCACAAGGGGGTGGAGGGAGGGGGCAGGGCTTCTTAGAGGAGGCTGCTTCCTAGAAGGCGCCGGCCTCACATCTACAGAGAAGGGCCGCGCCTTCTAAGAAGCAGGGGTGCTTCTAAGAAGCCCTCCCCCCTCCCCCCGCCCCCCTCTCTGCGCTCTGGCTGCACCCCCGTTTGCGCGGGCCCCCGCCCATTTGGGCCCCGGCTCGACCTGCTTCCGCCGCCCTCCCGCCAAGGAAGGGCCGGCAGCTCCTTCGGTCCTCGAGCCGGAGGCGGCCAGGAGGGGGGCGTCCGAGAGGGGGGAGGCGCAAAAATCATGGCTGGCGGCACGTGCGCCGCGGCCCAGGGGGGGGCGGGGCGGGGACGTGATGAAACAGGACGGGACGCCAGGAAGCCCGAGGAAACATCATGGCCCACGCCATGATATCCCCCTCCCCCCTAGTCTGAGGTCGGGCATGTCCTCCTACAGGCGGAGTCTGGGCGGAAAACCAAAAACAGGCAAAAAATGTCCCCAAAAAGTCACAAACAAAAAAATCAAAAAGTCGTCCCCAGATTATGTTTTGACCACTTTTGATTATTTTCCCCCAGGCCCGACTTCACACGCAGGACGGGCAAGGTCGCGCGCTCGGTGCTCGAGAGAGCCCCCAAGAAGGCCAACCCAGAGGCCCCAGGGCGTCCACTGAGTTCTGGTGTGGGAGCGTCGCGCTTTCCATTGCGAAGCCATCGATGCTCGAGATAACCCACCCTCGTCCCTCCCAGGGGCGGGGCTCTTAAAGCAGGCCTCCGAGAGGGGTGACCCAGAGTGCGCGCCTGGGGTTCCAGGCGCCCGCCTCCCTCCCCGCCCTTGGCCTTCTTCAAAACTATAAGAGGCCCGCAAAGGACGCACGCGCCCGTACAGTAGGGGCCCGACCACAAGAAACCTTCTACAAGAAACCCAACCCTGAGACCCCAGGACGTCCATTGATTTCTGGTGTGGGGGCGTCACGCCTTCCATAGCAAAGCCATCGAAACACAAGAAACACAGGGCACCCTGGAGGCAAGCAGGGTGTTTCTTGGCATGGGTTTCCATCCACTGTATCCTATGCCACCTATCTTCGCGCATCGCACCCCGCGACGTGCGATAGATAACCTCTGCGCCCTCGCGCCGCCCCCTATGGAGAAGGGCAGCCGCTCTGGCCCAGACCGCGACGCGCAAGGCACCAATAGCTTCGCGCGCCCCGAAGCTGAACACTCATGGCCCATGGCTGGGGGCCAGGACGGGCCGAGAAGCGAGGATGCGAGGGCACCCTTTGTGTGTCTTGGCATGGGCCTTGGCAGAAGAGCGGCAAGCAACATGTGTCTTGGCATGGGTCTCCGCTGCACGGCCCCGCAATCCGTGAGACCCGCCTCGTGACACGTACGTGTGGGTCCTTCTTTCGCTCCTGCTGGGCCGCTCGCCTCGCCCCGCCCGCGACCGAGTCGGCTCGGGACAGGTCCGCGGGCCCTCCAGGGCCCCATCCTGGCATGCGTTGACGAGGAGGGGGGCTCCTCGGAGACGAGAACATGAGGAGGAGGAGGAGGAGGAGGAGGAGGACCCCCTTTTTTACTCGACGAGGGAGCCCACGAGGCCTCTGAAGAGGGGTGACGTACACTCGGGCCGAGCTGTCGCGGGACCGTGTGGCCCTTGGAACTGGGGTGCTGCGCAGGCATGGGGCGATCGCTCGCGCGCGTCATGTCAGACGCGTGGGCGGGCAGAAGCATGCTGCGGGTCTCATCTTCTCAGAGAGGGTCGCTGAGCTAATCTGATTGGGCGTCCAAAAACCGACGACGCAATCTAGCAAGTCCTGACCCGCGACGCCCTCTGAGTGGGCGTCCAAAAACCGACGACGCAATCTAGCAAGTCCTGACCCGCGACGCCCTCTGATTAGGCGTCCTCATCCCATGGCCATCGTTCTGATGACACGGATCGACCTCGGGGTTGTGGCGCTCGGGACTGGTTTCCAGGGACCACTTCCCCGCGAACAAAGACGATGGGCTGTCTTACTTCGTGAAGACCTCGAGCCACGTCGCCACTTCGTCCTCGAGCCATCCCGCGGGCATAGCTCCTGTCATCCTGGTCGCGATGCCCCTCGGCCTGGAACGCCCAGGTGTTCGTGCCCCTGAGTGGCCACTGTGGCGCGGCGAGCGACATGGAGGTGGAGGAGATGGAGGAGGTGGAGATGGAGGAGATGCAGGAAATGGAGAAGGTGGAGGAGATGGAGGAGGAGGGGGAGGAGGAGGGGGAGGACGATGAGGAGGAGGAGGAGCAGGAGGAGAAGCAGGAGGAGCAGGAGGGGGGAGACGAATGAGACGGGGGAGGAGGAGGAGATGGAGAGGAGGAGGATCAAATGGAGGCCATGGAGGAGATGGAATAGCTGAAGGAGATGGACGAGATTGAGATGAAGGAGATGCAGGAAATGGAGAAGGTGGAGGAGATGGAGGAGGAGGGGGAGGAGGAGGGGGAGGACGATGAGGAGGACGAGGAGCAGGAGGAGAAGCAAGGAGCAGGAGGGGGAGAGGAATGAGGAGGAGGAGGAGGAGGGAGGAGGATGAGAAGGAAGGCGGAGGAGGAGGAGAAGGGAGGAGGAGGAGGAGGAGGAGGGCGGCGGCGGCGGCGGCGGCGGCGAGGGTAGGGCGGGCGGGCGGGCGGGGGGGCGGACAGCGCTCGTCTATCCCCTCCCCCCCCCGCCCCCCCCCCCTCCCGTGGAGCGGGCGCCTGCGCCGCGTTGGTCGCGGGCAGCGCAGCGGACGACGAGGTGCGCTGCGCTGGGGAGGCCTCCGCCTCCTCCTCGCTGGGTGCCTCGGTGAGGGCCTCCTCCTTCCTCCCTCGCTCCGCCCTCGCTCCGCCCTCCTCCTCCTCTCCCCCTCCCTCCCCCTCCGGCCTCGCTCCTCGCTCCCTCGCCCTTCTCGCCTCCTCTCTCCTCCAATGCCTCCTCCTCCTCCTCCTCTACTCCTCCCTCCTCCTCCTCCTCCTCCTCCTCCCTCGTCCTCCTCCTGCTTATCCTCCTCCTCCTCGTCCTCCTCCTCGTCCCTCCTCCTCCTCCCTCCTCCTCCTCACCTCCTCCTCCTCCCCCAACCCCTGCATACCCTCTATTCCACTCTACTCCACCCTCCACCTGCCCCATCTCTTCAATTTCCTCCTCCGCCAAATCCTCCCCTCCTCGTCCTCCTCCTCCTCCTCCCTCTCGCTCCTCTTCCTCCCTCTTCCTCCCTCTCCCCCTCCTCCTCCTCCTCCTCCCCCTCCTCATCATCATCATCATCATCATCATCATCATCCATCATCATCAATCATCATCACCATCACCATCACCATCACCATCACCATCACCATCACCATCATCGTCATCATCATCATCATCATCATCATCATCATCATCATCATCATCATCATCATCACCATCACCATCACCATCACTATCACCATCACCATCACCATCATCAGCATCATCATCATCATCAGCATCGTCAGCATCATCAGCATCATCATCATCAGCAGCAGCATCACCATCATCATGATCATCAGCATCAGCATCATCAGCATCAGTATCAGCAGCACCATCATCAGCAGCAGCATCACCACCACCACCACCATCATCATCATCATCATCAGCATCATCAGCATCAGCATCAGCATCAGCATCAGCATCAGCATCAGCATCAGCATCATCATCATCATCAGCATCAGCATCATCATCGTCATCATCATCAGCATCATCAGCATCATCATCACCTTCATCAGCATCAGCATCAGCATCATCATCATCATCAGCATCATCATCATCATCATCATCATCCTCATATTCAGCCTCGTCCTCATCCTCACACTCATCCTCATCCACATCCTCAACATCATCCTCATCATCATCCTCGCCCTCATCATCACCAGTATCATCCCCAGCGTCATCGTCGTCATCATCATCATCACCATCATCATCATCATCAACAGCGTCACAATCATCATCAACATCATCATTATCATTATCATTATTATTATCCGCCGGCCCCCTTGTGGGGCCACCAGGCTGTAGACACGTGATTCGCAGTTTCCTGTACCGGTAGTAGGTTGTAGTGTCCAGTGTTACAGTTCTGCTTCTTGCTGGTTACTGTAACTAGTTGAGTTATTACTGGTTACTGTAACTAGTTGATTGACCGCGCGAGGGGGGGGGAGGCCCAAACAGGATTTTCCAGCGTCCCCTGGGCGCGTTGTCTGAATTGCTGGGGGGGCTCGAAATCTCACCAGATACCACCCGCGGGGTCAGGGTCCAAAAACACAGATCCGCGGGGTCAGGGTTTGCCACATTTCTGAAATTCGGTGCCACCCCTCACGCAGATCCGCGGGGTCAGGGTCCAAAAACACAGGGGATGTGCCACATTTCTGAAATTCGAACCCATCACGCACATCCATCGCAAGGCGTGGTAACCCAAACTGCGAGAACTCCCATCGGCCCTTTCATCGCAAGGTGTGGTAACCAAGCCCTTAAACCATACACGTCTTACCAATCGCCAGGTGTGGTAACCCCTCTTGTGATCAGTTGGTTTTGCTGATTGCGACTCGATACTGCTTCACGACAGCGCCAAGGCCTCATGACTTAGCTCTTCCATGGCCCATTCTCCGAGAGAGGGGGCCGGCGGCAGGGGGCGAAGCCCTTACGGATTATTATTATTATGATTATAATTATTAGTATTATTATTATTAGTAGTATTATTATCATCAACAACAGCATCAGCATCAGCATCAGCATCATCATCAGCATCATCATCATCATCATCATCAACACCATCATCAGCACCATCATCAGCACCATCATCATCATCATCATCATCATCATCATCATCATCATCATCATCATCATCGTCATCATCATCATCATCATCATCATCATCATCATCATCATCATCATCATCATCATCATCATCATCATCATCATCGTAATCATCATCAACAGCAGTAGCAGCAGCTTCCTCGTCCTCCGCCTCCTCGTGCTCCTCCTCCTCCTGCTCCGCATCCTCGTCCTCGTCCTCCTCCTCCTCCTCCTCCTCCTCCTCATTCTGGTCCTCATCCTCGTCCTCCTCCTCGTCCTCCTCATCTGCCCCCGCCTCCTCCTCCTCCTCCTCCTCCTCCTCCTCCTCCTCCTCATCATCATCATCCTCCCCCTCCTCCTCCTGCACCTCCTGTAGATCCTGCATACCACCGTCTCTCCTCCACCTCCTCCCCATATACGCCATCCCCCACATCTCCACCGTCTCCCCCATCCCCTTCATCGCCTGCATGTCCTCAGACTTCCATCTGATCCATCTGCTCGATATTCTCCATCTGCTCTATCTCAACCATCTCCTCCTCCTCCTCCTCATCCGCATCCTCCGCCTCATCATCCTCCTCCTCCGCCTCCTCCTCTTCCTCCTCCTCCTCTGCCTCCTGCTCCTCCTCCTCCTCCTGCTCCTCATCCTCCTCCTCCCCTTCCTCCTCCTCCTCTTCGTCGTCTTCTTATGTTTATTAGTATTGCTATACGTATTCTCCTTCTTCTTATTAGTAGTATTCGTCTTATTCGTCTTAGTATTCTTATTATTATTAGTATGGTTAATAGTATGTTTCTTTTTATTAGTATTACTATTATTAATATTATTAGTATTATTATTATTATTTATTAATATTAGTACGATTATTATTATTATTAGTATTATTATTATTATTATTATTATTATTCCTCCTCCTCCTCCTCCTCCTCCTCCTCCGCCTCCGCCTCCGCCTCCTCCTCCTCCTCCTCCTCCTCCGTAGCCATGTTGGCTCAAGGCTGATGCTTGGCGGGCTGAGCCCGCATTGGCAGACACGGATACCGCTATTCCGCGGCAGAGCTAGGGCTCCTGGAGCCCGATTGTCTTTAGCCAGTACCGTAGGGGCTCTCTGGCGGCCCATCACCGACACGACGGCACGATGGCGGGCTGGGGGTGCCGCTCCTGCTGTGCTTGGAACCGTGGGGCCAAGGCGAAGTGCTACCATTGCAGCGCCCCCAATCCTGGGCACCCTGGTGTCAGTGGAGGCCCAGGGCCTGCGCGCCGCGGCGCCCCGCGCGGGGCATGGGCCTGGGGCCCTGGCAAGGCCGCTGCGCCGCCCTGGCGCGATGGCCCGCCGCAACCGCTCGCTCCAGGCGGAGGCCGCCAGCCTGCCGCCCCACCGGCTGCCGCCGTGCTCGACGACCAGCAGCTGGAGTGCGGGGTCGCCATGGAGGACGAGAAGTTTTCGCAGCTCGCGTCCGTCCTCGGCCAGTCCCTGCGCGACAGGATCGTGCATCGGCGCCGCCTGCGCGCCGCTGGCATGGAAGACCCCCGCGACAAGGACCTGCCGCAGCCCGCGGTCAAGGCCCAGCGCGTGGTCCTCCAGGCGACCCAGCGCCTCGAACGGGCTCAGCAAGCTGCTCAAGAAGCGGCGGACGAGCTCGAGGAGGCCGAGGCGCAGCTTGTCGCGGCTCGGGGCGACCTGGACCAGACGAAGCAGGACGCAGCCTCGGACACCGCGGGCGGGGACCCAGGGGGACCTCCCGTCCCAGCGTCGACGTGGGACGACCTCGGGAACTTGGCGGGCCTCGCCAACCAACTCGTGGCCACCTACGAGGACCAGCTGGCACAGCTGGCGGCGTGCAACAAGCCGCTCGACTCGGGGCTCGCAGTGGCGCAGCAGGCCAAGGAGGCGCTGCAGAAGTTCACCGCCGCGCTGCCCGCCGCGCCTCCCGTGCAGGCTGCTGTGGCTGCTCCTGGCACTCCTCCTGCCGTCCCTCCTGGAGGCCAGCCCCCCGCTGCCGCCGACGGAGGGGGGCCTGGGGGCTCGCCAGCGGACGTCGCCATGGGGGCTGCACCTGCGGGAGGACGCGACACCGCGGTGCGGCTTCGTGGCAAGGCGGCGGCTGCAGAGCGGCTGCGGCGCGACGTCAGGAGCGGGGCCAGCCCATACTAAGGCAAGGATGTTCTTCGGGAGTAGCACCCAGCACGGCCCGACCTCCCGCAGGTTCCTGGAGGGGTACGGAGCTGGCTTTGACGTCGTCGGTTTCTGCGAGACCCATGCGTCACCTGCTGCCGCCGAGCAGCAGCAGATCGAGTTCCAGAAAGGCAAGTGGAAGGTCGCAGTCACGCCTGGCATCCCTTCAGGTCGGTCCCTGGACGGCGTCACAGGCGGCGAGATGCTTACGATCAAGAAGACATTGGCCGCCACCACGTTTGAGGGGCACCGACGCGCGTGCATTGCGGCTGGTCGGCCTCGCCCCTTCTTCGGTTTCGTTCCGATGGTTTGGCACTTGCTGCAAGGCAACGTGATCATCGTGGTAGCATACTTGGTGCCGGGGCTTCGGTTTCGTGGAGCCAACCAGCAGCGGCTCGCCTCATTGGCGGCCTTCCTCTCGCTCATGAAGGACCCCTTCGTGTTCTCGGCGACTGGGACGTCGAGCCGACCGACTGGGGCGAGACGGAGTGGTTGCAGCGGATCGGGGCCGCCGTCGTGGCGCCAGAGAACGTTCGCACGACTTGTGACAAGGGCAAGGGCAAGCTGTGCGACTACGTGCTTGCCTCGTCAGGGTACGCCGAGCATGTCAAGGTGATGGCTGAGCCCAACGTGCCGTGGCGCACGCACTGCGGGCTCATCATCGAGCTCACGGCCAGCAATCGCCGCTGGTACCACCAGGCGCTGGTGCTGCCCTCGGCCCTGCCTCTCCGCGGCCCGCCGAAGGTCGCAGCGGGCCCCAGCAGCCGCAGGCAGCGGAAGCTCGCAGCGCAGGCTTGCAAGCGCCCCGAGGCGCAGCCAGAGGAGCTGCGGGGGTCCCGCGACGCGCTCCCCGGGGAGGCCGACGGGATCGGCGGGCCGATTGCTGCGGACGGCCTCGGGCATGCCCTGCGCCCGCTGCCCGACTACACGGCCCCGTGGACTGGGGGGTGGCGCAGCGCTGGAGGCGGCGCCTGGAGTGCTGCCCAGTGCTGCAGAGACGCGCTCTCCGCGGCCACCGCCCCTGCGGCAGCACGGCGCACGTCCATGGACTACGACGAGGGCCCCATGAACGCGCTTGCTGACGAGTACGACGAAGGCGTTGCGGAGCTTCCTGTGCACGATCTAGCCCCTTGCAGCAGCCCAGCGTCGGCTGCGAAGTCAGCGGCGCCGCCCGACACAGAGCCTCCCGATCGAGATGGCGGCGCGCCAGCTGACATCGAGTATTTAGTGAGCGCCGAGACATGGTCCAGGTGCGCTGCTGCCTTGCAGGCTCGGAAGCCTAGCAGCCAGCGGCCCGCCGACCAGGGCCACTTCCTGTTCGCGCGAGTGCCGCTCTCCACCGACCACGTCTCGCAGTTGCACGCGCAGTGGGTCGGCACCCTTGAGGAGGCGCTGATCCAGACGGAGCAGGTGGTCGGTCGCAGTGCGGACACCATGCGAGGGCGTGGTCAAGGTTATCGGATCGAGAAGCGGAGGATGAAGAGCACCCCTGGCCGCGCCCACCTGCTCGACCCAGTGTTGGAGGGTTGGCAGACGCTGAGCACCCCGTTGGTCCGCCTCGTCGCGCTGATGACCAACGGGTCCGACCGTCCGCAGCAGCGCGAGTGCGTTGTGCGGGCCATCCCCTTACTACGAGCACGTGTGGGGAAGAACGATCATCATGTATATTTCGGCCAGTCCCTGCAGGAAGATGCGCAAGAGTGGCGCCTTCGTGCTGATATCTTTTTGCAGCAAGAAATGCCATGCTTGGACGACGTACGTAGACTGCTCGCTTGCACTGAGCGATGGTGCCACCGCCTCCTCGGCCGCAGCCTCCACCGCGCCCGCCTCGGGTACGTCCGCTGGGCCAACGAGGCGCGGCAGCGGAGGCCAGGCGTCGTCCGCCGACGCGTCAGGGAGCCCGCGGCCGAGCAGCTGGAGACCTACGGCCTCGCCAGGGACGCCGAGGGGGACATTGCGGCGAGGTCCATCGCCCAGCCCGACACCATCCCGGAGCAGAAGACCCTGTTCTGGGAGAGGGCGTGGAAGGACCCGACGCACAACGAGGCCGACCTTGCCGAGGCCCTCATCGCCACTCTCCGACGCGCTGCTGATGAGTGCCTGGATCCGATCACTCCCGACCAGGTGCGCGCGGCCATGCGCCGCATGAGCTCGGGCAGGGCGCGCGGCATCGACAACGTGGGCCCCGCTGACCTGCAGCGAATGCCCGAGGACGGATTCGACGGTCTCGCCTCGCTCCTCAATTAGTGCGAGGCCGCGGGGGTGTGGCCGTGGCAACTGCCGGCGGTCATTGGAGCCGCCATTCCCAAGCGTGATGGAGGGGATCGCATCATCGGCATGCTGCCGACCACCTGCAAGGTTTGGGCGAAGGTTCGAGCTGCTTCCACTGACGAGTGGAGCGACGCCCAGGCCGAGTGGTGGGATACCGCGGTGCGCGGGTCTTCCGCCCTGCGGGCCGCGGTGCGCCGTGCTTGCATGGGCGAGTGCGACGTGGAGAACGGGTGGTTCACCGCGACCCTCCTTCTCGACATCAAGAAGTTCTACGACTCGGTCTCCTTCGTGCGCCTGCTCGCGGCGGCCACCCAGCAGGGGTTCCCTGCGATCGTGGCCGCTATGGAGGTGCAGTTGTACGCAGGGCCCCGCCACCTGCGCCGGCGCGCCTGGCTCGGGCGCCGTCTGCAGCCCGAGCGGTCGGCGGTGGCGGGCTCGGTCCACGGAGGGAAGCTGGCCAAGGTCATGCTGGGGCCAGTGATTGCTCGCGCGCATCGTGCGTGCGAGCGTGCTCAGATGCGGGCGTTCATAGACGACGCGGTGATCCGCTCTGTCGGCACCAGACAGGCGGTCAAGGCCGACATGTACAAAGCCGCGGTGGCGCTCAAGCAGGGGCTCGACGAGGCTGGCTTCGAGGTCTCCACCAAGACCGCGCTGGCGTGCTCGCATCCCCCGCTGGGGCGGTCCGTCGCTGGCGGCCCGGCGCGGCTTGGCGTGCCCGCCTCCTACGCGGCGCATGCGATGGACCTCGGCGTGGACACGGCCTGCGGGCGCCGTCGGTGCAGGAGGCGCGCCCAGAAGCGCTTCCAGGCCGCCAGGACCCTCCGCATGCGCAGGGAGGTCCGCATGGCCAAGATCACGAAGATGCCGTGGGCGACGGGGGCGCAGCCTCAGGCGACGTACGGCCGCCAGGTTGGTGGCCTCGCGCCCTCGTCGATCCTGGCGATGCGCCGTGGCGCCGCCGCCTCAGCTGTAGGCAAGGGGCCTGGCAGGTGCCTCGCGTCGACCTTGGCGGCCTTCTACTGGCAGCGCGACCCAGGGCTGGAGCTACGGAGGCAGGTTGTCAGCCAATGGCTTGAGCTCTTGCGCGCGCGGCCCGAGGTTCACGGTCGGGTGCGCCGCGCCTGGCCCCGCCTGCTCCAGGCCCTGTCGCAGACAGGGCCACATCGCTGGCGGCGTGTCCGCGGGCCTGCCGCTGCCGTGATCGCGGTGCTCCTGGACACCGAGTGGCGGCCCGAGTCGCCCCAGCGCTGGGTCCGCCCGACAGGGCCCAACGCAGTCGACGAGTGGATCATCCCTGGCCCCGACGCGGAGTGCTACGCCGTCGCCGACGCGCCAGAGCTCTTGGACGACCTCATGGCTGACTTCGCGAGACGCATGTGGCAGAGGGCCGCGCTGCACCCCGCGGGCGACAGCCTCTTCAACGGCGCCGACATGATGCGTGTGCAGCGGGAGCTCAGGCGCTTCATGGAGGCGGGGGCTCTCGACCTGTGGTCGCAGACGGTCGTCATCGTCAGCGGCGGCCAGTGGACGAGGGAGCGCCAGCAGCAGGCAGGTCACGACTCCGAGGTGATCTGCCAGCGCTGCGGCGATGAGAAGGAAACGCTTTTTCATCGAATTTGGAGCTGCCCGTGCAACACGGGCCATGCAGATTTTGACGCCAGTGAATGTTTGATTGTTCGTGCGAGGGCGGGCTGGGAGCAAGACCCTGCCTGGTCGTTGAGAGGCGTGTACCCAGTCGACCTCGCCACGCCCATCTTTGATGAGGGCCAGGCGGACTGGGTCGAGCACCAAGGCGAGCCGCTCGACAGTTGCAGGGTCGAGGGCAATGAGGTGCTCGACGTGTTCGGTGACGGCTCGGGCGGCCCGCGCACCGACGACCCTCGGCGGCGACGCATCGGAGCTGCTGCTGTCGCACTTCGGCAGGAGGGTGAGTCGTGGTCGCCCGCCGCCGTCGTCACTGGCGGGCTCCGCGGGCGCAGGCAGGCTGTACCCAGGGCTGAGCCGCTCGCCCTTGTCCTGTGCCTCGAGAGCTCGTCAGGAAAAGATCGTTTTCACACTGACTGCAGGTCTCTGTTGGGTGGTTGGAATGCTGGCCGTCACACTTCGTGCATAGGTAGCAATGGAGACCTGTGGGCCCGCTTGAGGCAGGCGTTGACTGCAGCAGTAGTGATATCGAGGTTGTTTGGGTCCCCAGTCACCTTGACGAGGACCCCGATCGGATTGTGAATGAGGGCCTCCAGTATGTTGCTGCTGGAAATATTATTGCTGATAAGGTGGCTGGGGCTGCCGCGGCGCGGTCGAGCCGATGCCTGATCGGTGATGCACCGCGCACCGACGAGTGGGATGCGGTTGTCGCGCTCGTGAGGCGACGTGCCCGTCGGGCGCTCACGGAATCGATTCCCCTTTGATCCGTGGACTTCCAAGCGTGTCGAGCGCG